CCGATCTATTCTTTTTATTTACAATATTTGTAAATTTTCTGAATAAATTTATTTGCACGAATGTATTTTTTGAAACTTCCAAACTTCGAAGCTCCGAAAGAATTCGACGATTTTAATGCCGAAGCTTCGAAGTTTCGAAAAATACGTTCGGTCAAATGAATTTATTAAAAAAATTTACAAATATTGTAAATAGAAAAAAATTAATATATATACATATATCAAAGTATATATATATATATATATACGTAATTATTTTTAAAAAATTTGAAAGTATTATAACTTTCGAATGTCGAAACTTTCGAAGCAAATCATCCTATAGTAAACGATAGGAAACTGCGTGAATGGAAGGATTATTTACCGCGTAAATCGAGGGACAACTGTATATTGTCTCTAATATTACATATCATTAATTAATTTCCTTATCCAGACACCAGCTTCATGTACGTGATCGCGGTGCTCTGCATGATCAAGATTTACCAAAATCGTCATCCCGACATAAACGCCCGGGCACCGGTAACGTTCGGGATGTTGGCCGTCATAATATTCGCGGGATTGATCGGGGTTCTGAATGGCTCTAAAACCTTCTTGATAATATTTTCCATTCTGCATTTACTAATATGCTTCTTTCTGACTGTACAAATATATTACATGGGACGATGCAAATTCGACAGAGGCGTTCTTAAAAGAGTAATACAGGTATGTGTCTCCGTTTCGACCTGTGTTATTGTCTGCCGTATCGCAAGAGATACGCCATTCGCCACTTGAGGTAATAACAACTCTCTTGCAGAGGTTCAGGCACGAGGCACGCTGCGGCATATGGCATCTACTGCGGCCGCTCTATCCCGCGAGATTCATAATGCTCGTATTGGCGAATTTATGTAACGTCGCGCTCGCGGTGTTCGGATACATGTATCAGCAAGGCAATTTCGCTACGTTTTTACTGGCTATACTGATGTCCAACTTAATTTTATACACATTCTTTTACATAATGATGAAGGTACGTACATCCTCTCTCTCTTTTCCCATCGCTCTCTTACGCGTAAGAAATTGGGAAAAAGAGTGACCCAAAGAAAGGTGATTTTTTTGCCCGTTTTTTTTTTTGGGCCCTCGATTTTGGGACTGGACTGTGTGCCAAATGGTATTTTATAATGAGATATTAATCACAGAGAAGTTTCAGGTTGAGGTGACAATTGTTATCAGCTGGAGGGAGGGAAGGGTCACTTATTATAACTCGATCTTTTTACGTCCAAAGCGAGCGTCATTTACGTAAAACTACGATCAAATACTACTTCTTAAAATACCGAACCTCGCAGACCTGTGATAATTCCATAACGAACTTCGATTTCATCCCCTTCCCCTTCTCCTCCTCCAGCTCTGATAACAATTGTCACCTCAACTTGAAACTTCTCTATAATTAATGTCTTATAAGATATCATTTGTGGCATACAGTTCAGTCTCAAAATCGAGGGCCCAAAAAGCGGACGATTTTTTGAGTCACTCTTCGTGTTTATGTGTATATTAATATGAAAATCTTGCTTTCAGCTTTGCCACAGGGAACGGATTCTTCTCACACCCGCGATCTACATCTTCCTGTCCATGCTGTTTTGGGGCGCAGCCTTGTACTTCTTCGTGCATAAAACTATTTCTTGGGCGCTCACACCGGCCCAGTCCCGCTTATACAATAAACCCTGCGCGCTATTGAACTTTTTTGATTCCCATGACATCTGGCACTTTCTTTCGGCGTTAGCTATGTTTTACTCCTTTATGGTATTGCTGACCTTAGATGACGACCTAACGGATGTACATCGAAGTCAAATACCCGTTTTTTGAGGATACTCTCCTCTATGTAGGTTTGAGAATTATTGTGAGATTTTATAATTTTTTTTATAAGGTATTCTCTCAGACATACGTGATGTACAGTCTACTGAATAGTGATTTTACAAAAAAGTTATATAAATATACAAAAGGCTTTTAGGAGAGAGAGAGAGAGAGAGAGAGTGTGTGTGTGTGTGTGTGTGTGCGCGAATGTTTCTCGTAGTAGGAACGTGGATATATTGTCTGCACCAAAGAATGCGTGTGATGCATGTCGATTAGATCGAATAAATGCATGTGATTCTATAAGTTGTCTGTTACAATAAACAAATTTTAATTCCAGTGTCTCGACGGCACTTTTTATGAAGAATGTGATACTGTTTGAAAAAGAAAAAGAATATATATGTATATATCTTCCCTAAAACGTAGAGAAAAAAAATTAGAGAAAAAAAGATTAATGTTTTACATAAAATACATGTACATTTTTGCGTCTGTCGTGAGATAATGTTATTTAAATGCGGCAGTTGCGCGAGCGCATCGTTTACAATGTCAAAGTCTCCTACAATGTTTTCCTTCGAAAAATAAATATACATTTTATATTATTTGCGCGCGTGTGTATATATAATTATATACAGAATACCGCACTTTTAATAACGCATGTTCTCTCAGATACAGAATACGGAATGATGGGTGTCTTGCTAATCAAACTAATCAAAGTCTTGTGGAAAATCGAGACTATTGTGATAATTAGGATATACTAAGATGTTATTACATATAAGTTAATAAATTTGATTTTTATGTAATATTGTTAAATATTACAATAATGTAACAGCACCTTGGCATATCTGAATTTTCAATTCAAATCATAAGTAAATAATTATATTGTTATTTAATATTATTAAATTATAAATAAATAATTTGATTGTTATTAAATATGATTAAATAATCTAATTATTTACTTAGCATCTATCAACATCTTGATTGTTTGAATTAACGTCAATTTGTTTTAATTTTCAGATTTATAATCAGACATAAAGATGTTTAATTCCTTCAAGTTCAACAGATGATTTAAAAAAAAAATCGCTAATCTTCCGACAAATTTTTTCACGAATTTCAAGGAAATCCGTAGCTGAAGGAACGTGCGATATTTTGACGTATAAATCTCTTTGTATTGCCATATACAACTATAATCTATAAATTCGTCACAGTCACGGAACGACAATTCCGTGTAAGTGACACGCCTTTCTATTTTTCCCTAAATACATGAAGCGCTTTGTACAAAGAGATTACAAAGAAAATCATTTAAACAGACTAATCGGACACTATCTGCTACTCTCTTTCGAATTTCTTAAAGCATCAACTTTATAATAAAATGTACTACCCCGACATTTAATGTCACGAGGTGGTCATGGCGTGTCCAGATTTGAAATTTGAATAATTAAAATCGAGACCGCTATTCGAGAAATATCATCTAACTCTCAGTTATTACCCCCTTAATACCAGGACAGATTTGGATTGGTATTAAATAATTATATATTTTGAATGATGAATTGTACTATCGATGGGCGCGTTTAAATGTTAATAAGCTTGGAATGAATGTGTAACGTGGAGGGCAGGACGTACGTCGCTTACGCGAAATGCGCTCAGGACGAGCCGCTCGACGAGTCCTTGTGGTGCTCCTGCCCCGTCGTCTCCAACTGCGTCAAAGTTCTTTGCAACTCCGCTCGCTCGGCCGGTTGCAGTCGGTGCGCGATCTCCAGCACCGCGTCCAGCCTGATTTCCGGGCAGATCTCCAGAGCCTCCTTGATACGCGTCACCACCGCGTCCCTCTTCACGCACGTTATATTACGCGATACAACACTGTCGTCGGTTCTACGTTGCGCCTCGAGCCAACAGGCCGCGGCCTCGTCCTGATCCCACAGATACGACTCCGTCGCTCCCTTGTCCTCGATGAACCAACGCCGAAGCATCGCCTCCACCTGCCTGACGTCGAGGCTGGGCTGCGTCGACAGGATCTCGTTCTTGATCTCCTCTTCGAAGAGTCGCCGGCGTAGCCGCCAGTAGAACAGCCGGCGCGCGCTCTTCCACGGTATTATCTCGTGAATCGTATTCTTCTCGAACATCCTCTCCGGCGTGTCGTGCAGATCGGCGAAATAAACGGCTACTTGACGGTACATCGGCTCCAAAAGCTGCTCGCGCTTCCGAATCTGCGCCTCGATCTCGGCTCGTTCCTCCGCCGTGTTTACGGTCGATAATTTTTCCTAAAAAATACAGTTACAAAAAAAAACGTTATATATATAAATGTTAAGGTATCTACTCATGGGCGCGTCATTTGACGCGCGCGTCACGCGTCAAATGACGCGCCATTTGAGAAATAACTAGATCAAGTATATCAAGGCACAAATAATCGGTCCATAGACGTCGATTCGAAGTCTATAAACATCGAATCAATGTTTAGAAACGTCGAATCGAAGTCTATAGACCGATCATTTCTGCCTGAGTAGTGACTTCTAGCACTGTCGCGTTTGACGCGTTTACAGTTGAATTTATCCAACTGCAAAAGCGGCATCGCATTTGTCGCCAGTGTTCAAAAGTTTGTGTGCAAGTGACGACCTGAGTCCACAAAAATTATAATTATATCCGATAAAAAAAAGATTGTTATACATTATGACGCGCACATGAGTATCTTTATATATCAGATGATGTAAAGAAATGGGAAATCGCTTACGTACTTTTAACTTCAGTATAACGAGATCGACTCTGTGCATAGTCTTCACGATGTCCTTGTTTCTAAATTTGATTTCCACAATACCGTCGGGTTCCAGGACGCCACCCCTACTGGTATTGTCGGCGAACATCTCCATGAAGCGTGGATTTATCGTAGGATCGACGACCGCCCAAGCGCCGCCCCTGAGTTCCCCATTCGGTGGGATGTAAACGAACACCGGCCTGCAATACTGCCGTAGTCCGTCCACGATGTACGCGCCGAACTTCATGATCTGCTCGTACATGTCTGCAAGCGAGAATAATCGCAGCAGTTGGTGAAAATTGGGACAACGATTAATCGAGCGACGTCGGCTAATGGTAACTCACCCTTCATGCCGCCGGAGAACCCTCTCCAGTTGGCGAAGATAAACAGCGGCAATTCCTCCCTTCCGAAATCTTGAATGGCCTGAGCAGTTTTGTACGCGCTGTCCGGAAACCAAACCTGTCCCGCTTGGGATATAGTTTTAGCTTCCGAATCTAGATTGGCAGGATCGGCTGGTAAGTGCAGCTCAACGGTTCTCGTTTCGACGGCGATAACGCCACACGGTATGCCACCGAGCCTAGCTCGTCCCGTGACCACCGTCTGCGCCCATGGTCTCATTATTTCCTGTTCCGGAAAACAAAAACGAGTTAATAATATAGTTTACTACTGAGTTTCCTGGTGAAAAAAAATATCTCATATCTCATAATATTATCTCATAATATTTTTAAGAATTTGTCATATTTTAAATTTATAAAGATGATTTATGAAGCTCTGAAAAAATAACTTACTTCTTCAGATTTTATATATTCTTTAGAAATTATAAGAATGAGAAGGATGACCTAAGAGGTCTTGGAATATTTTAGAATTTATATATATAAAGAATTTTAGAATAGATATAGACTTTCTTAGCACTTCTGAAAAATGTTTCAATTCGTGTAAAGCATCTGAGAAATTTTCTAAAAAAAAAAAAATATAATACAATTACAGAAATTATATAAAAATTCTGTAAAATTCTGAAATTTATATAAAAAAATGCTGAAAAATTGTATAAAGAATTCTAAAAAATATTTCTTTGAAAAGAGAAGAGAGAGAAAGGCGGCGAAAGAAAAAAAAAAGACAAAAACTCACATGCCACGAGCCTCGGTCGAAGAAGCCGCTTTCCCAAACGTTCGACTCGGTACAATTTCTACCCTCCAACATCCATCTCGGATCGTAAGCTGTTTTCGTGGGCATGTAAGCGATTTCTCGATCGATCGGGTCGGTGACGATCGACAGTATCGGCAATGGGCTGCCTTTGTTCTTAGGGAAGTAACTCAGCCACTTCAGGGCGGTCGCCACCCCGTCCAAGTCCCGAGCGTCGATCGCGTGGGACACCCCGTTGTTGTGCATAATCTGCGTACCGCCCAGCTGATTGTTGCTGGCGTAAACCTCACGACCGAGCACAGCGTTTAGTGCTCGGTAGCCGGTTAGAATGATGTGCGAATTCTCGATCTGGATTACCCGTTGGCCAAGGCGCAGCAGATAGGAACCGATACCGATCGCGCGGCACGACACTATCGAGATCGTGATCGTCTCGTCGTATGCCCTCGACGTCTCCCCCGCGATCAGACCGGCGTGCTTCAAATTCTCCACCCCCAGATCGTCGTCCTTGCCAATGATATCCGTGATTTTGTAACGCGACTCCCCCGCGGGATCCTCGATCAGCGACGCCTTCACCGAGTTGAGCGGCGCCAGGCGCGCGTAATCGTCCGGCGTGAGGTATATGTATCTGAAGCCCTTCTCCGGCTCGTTCTCGTCCTCCCACGCGATCCTGAAGAGCGCCTTCACCTCCTCGGCCAGGCCGATACGCGCCCCGGAATTGGCGGAGAAGTATATGCGCGGACAGCCGAGCTGCCTCGCTCTCTCGGAGGCTCGCCAGAACACGAGGTCCTCGCGCGTGCCGAACGAGCCTATCAAGTATGTTAAATCGTTGGCGATGAGTATGATGTCCCTGCCGAGCGGATACTCCGGGGTGTACAGTGTCAGCCGCCACGCGATCATGCCGACGTCGTTCTCGCCCGGCAGCCGCTTCTGCTCGACCAGCTGCTCCCCCTCCAGCACCAGCTCCACGACGTCCATCACTGGATTCGGTATCGCAATCGGACTCTGGCCCTCGCTCGGCGGCCTCTCCTCGACGTATCTCTGCCACATCTTCTCGACCTGCTGCCGGAACATGTCCGGCAGGTCGTAGACGTAAGTCGTGCCGGCGCTCTGCGCCTGGAATCGCTTGGCCTGCAGGTAATCCTTGGTGAGATACGGCGTGGAGATCGGCAGCCCGTGCATAGGTCCCGGCCTCCAATTGGCCGCGTTCACCGCCGTGGGCGGATAGGACTCGAAGCGAATAATGCCCGTCTTGGAGTCGGTGGCTTCCGTGTAAAGGTGCAAGTCGATACTGTAGCCGCTGTCGTTGGCGATACAGAGACGTACGTTGGAGGTCGGTTTCCCCGGCGCGGGCCGTATCGTCATCTTGATCTCCGCCTGCCGGACGTGCAGCTTCCACAATCGCGGCCCGTACCGCAGCACCATGCTCGTCACGCTCTCCTCGATTCTGCTGGGATCCATGATGACCGTGGGTACGAAGTTCAAGAAGATGTGATTGCACTCGGTGCGCTTGGCGAGTGGATGCGAGAACGCGACCTCCAGCTCGTCCATGGCCTCGAGCAGGACGCGCTCGCCCTCGTTGTGAAGATAGTCGAAACTGGCCTCCTTCGTAATCAGATCGGAATGTCGTATGATCGAGCGGATGAAGAAGCGATAGTCCGTGACCTGCTGGCCCTTGGCGACCTTCGCCTGCCCGAGGTACAGGTGCATCTTCTGATTGGACGTCGGCAGCGCCTCGAGATCGTACGTGCGCATACGATTCAGCTCCAACTGGAAGGCGCAGCCGGGCTCGAGGTGCCGATAGATTCTGTCCTCGACGAAGCCCTCTCGCTGACGGAAGGTGAAGAACTTGGGGAACTGCCGCCTCTTGAGCGCGGCAAACGTGACCCGCCGGATGCCGCGCGATATCAACTCGTCCTTGTTCTTCGCGCACCAATCGCCAAACTTTCTGGCCATGGTGGCGTCGTCCTCGGTGCCGTTCTCCTTGACCGCGATGCTCAGTATGTGGACCGGCTCGACGGATGTGACGGTCGCCGCTGTCGTCGTGGTCGTCGTCTCGGCCACGCTCAGCGAGACGTTGATCGATGTGCTGTGCCGCGACTCGCTACCAGCGGCTTCCACCGCCTCCAGCAACTTCGCGGACATCACCGGCGCGGGGCTCGACTGATCCTCCAGCAGGTCCAACATCTCGTCCGCGTACTGGCTGAACTGCTCGAGATCGTCGAAGGCCGCCATCGCGCCGGCCCTGTGATCCACCAGAGTCTGATTCTGACGATTCGGGTGATTGCTGGGTAGAACGAATTGGAAGTACACCAACGGGATCTCGCCGGACAGGTCCAGATGCTGCAGACACGTCAGTTCGTAGCTGATGTAAGCTCGCCGTACGTAGACCTCCAAGGCCGCGTTGCACACCGCGCGATTGGAATGATAGAAGAAGTCGTGAAGTATGTCGAAGATGGACGTTTCCGAGAGAATGAGTTTCTGCAGATTCTCCGGGTGAAAGTCGTGCCCGTACATGTCCACCGCGGAGAGAAATATGGACTCCATCTGGTTGTGCCTGAGCTCGTACGCGGGTTGATGGGCGGCGATCAACACCTGCCTGGCTCTTAACGCGACGCGGCTGTGCTCCGTGCGATTCAGACTGGTCAGTTCCGTCAGCGTGCTCGAGAGCTCGTCCGTGAGACCGGGTTCGTTAGCCCACAGGTGGTCAATCAACATAGTGACCAGGACGTTCTTCTTCGTCACTTGATTGTGACTGAAGATCATACCGGTCACAGTGGTCACGTCGTCCTTGTACTTTTCTATCAGCGCGGAGACGCACTTGTCGTAGTGACCCTGCTGGAACTGGCTCTCGACCGTGTAATACTGTCGGAGAAGCTCGTGCACGGCGGTCTTCATTCGGCCGCGTATACCGTTCCGGTATCTTTGCACCAGTTGCACGATGGCCTGGGTGGTCAGGAAGAACACGTCTCGCTCGGCCCTCTTGGACAGGGTCGCCGCGTGTCCGTCGATCACGGCGGCGATCTGCTGGCTGGGAAACTGCGCCAGGATCGACGTGATGTTTCGGTCGTACAGAGACATCAATTTGCGGATTTTTTTCTCCACCGAGACGGGGATCCTGCCGGATATCGTCGCGATCACCTCCTGCAGCTCCAACAGCGGCAAGTTGGGATCGCGTAACGAGAACATGAACTTCTCGATCAGCTCACGTAGACGTGGCAGATGGTACTGATCGGGCAGGCAGTAGCCAGCCAGCGTATTCTCCAAAGCATTTCGATACTTGGCGTGAAGATGATTCAGTTTCTCCGGTACAGCCGGCGTCGCCGCCGCGGGAAATTGTCCGGTGTACTCTTGCGCTTTCGTCACCAACGACGGATCATCCAGCTCGAGATGCGCGATCAGCGTACCAGCTTCTAATACAGCGCCCGGTCTCTTCACGTAAAAAACGCTCCCCGTCTCGCTCGCGGTGACGGTCATCACCATCTTCATCACCTCGATTTCGGCGTACGCCTGACCTGTGCCAACGTGGCCTCCGTCATCGACTAAGAAATTGATCAACTTGCCGGCCGACGGGGATCTCAGTAAGGACGGATCGTTGTCCTTCTCAAAAATGCACGTCTGGTTTCCAATGACGATCCTGTAACGATCCACCTCTTCGCGCATGTAAGTCGTAAAACTGGCACCGTCCAGCGAAAGCAGCAATCCCCCGTCCGACATGCGATGGATCTCGATCTCCTTGTAAGAATCGTTCATCACGAGGAAATAGGTATTGGGGCCGGATTTGGCAGCCTGCACTTTATACTTGTAGCCGTCGTTAATAAGCTCGACCTGCAACACATAATGTAGTAAACGAAAATGAAAGTGTAGTCTGCAACATACACAGGGTTGCTACAAAAATAAATTTTGAAATTCCCTGACTTTTCCATGATTTCCAAACAACAGTGGAAAATTTTTCATGATCAGTATCAAATTATATATAATTCTAAATTTTAATGTTTATAAGATACATATTACAAGAAAGGTAATTTACCTATATTAGAAGCAACATAAATTTAAAAGTTTAATAACATAATATAATTCCAAATGCAAATTCAGGCCAACAAATTAATATTAACATTGCTTTGATATTAATATTATGCATTACAGAAAAAATTACAGAAAAAAATTCCTTTGGTATAACTGAATTTTCCGTTGCTTGGAGAACAGACAAAAACTCAGTGATAAAAGTAGAAATATTCCTGTAGACATTTCTTTAATATCGCTAAATATTCAGAATATTTTCGATCGCGATCACAGAGAGAAATCTCGAACAAAATCATAATTTTCGAAAATTTTTCGATTTTCATACAAAATCATTTCATTCTATTATTGTCTATTGTTTAATTCTGGAAAAGGATTTTCAAATCAGAAAAAGCAATACGTACAAAAATATTGTACAAAAATTATTGAGTTTCATCGATAAAACAAATAATCCAGCTTTTAAAGGAATTGTGAGCAAAGTTCAAAATTTCAGGCTCTTTTATATTTTTCCCTGACTTTTCCAGGTTTTCCCGGTTTTCCAGGTCTGTGGCAACCCTGATTTATATATACCATGCAAAATCAATCCTAAGACAGTTCGAGAAAACATCCTGCGTGACATTATTCGAACATACAGAACAGGAATTTACCTCAACAACGTTATCCAAATCATTGCTGGCCTGTATCTGGCCCTTCTCCAAAGCAGTTTGAAAGCCAGTAAAAGCGGCTGTAATCGCTCTGTCGGCGATATGAAGCGCTCCGCAGGTAACGGACAATAAGACGTCTGGTTTGTCGCTTCGGACACGTTCGGCGATCAGCAAATCGAGCCAAGCGGTGTCTATATTATTCTGTTGAAAGGACTCGGTCTCCAGCAAAGTGATGAGATACTCGACCGTCGTCCTAAAATCGCCTCTGATGCTCAATTCCTTTAAGGCCACGACTAAATTCTCTCTAGCTTGATTACGGTCTTCGCCCCACGAGAAGCAATGGCCAAATTGAGAGTCCGCGAACTCGTGTAGTCCCCCCGAAGCTGCGACCGAGAAATAGCCCCACACATTCTTGGATGATCGGAAATTCAACTCCTGCACCGTGCCAGAACTTGGCTTGAAGCCTAAAATCCAAGCAAGTTATAACTTGTAATTCCTATAAACAAAATTGGATCTTTCGCGGTAGAGAATGAAATTCTCACCTTCATCTGGATTTTCGCTGGTGATCCTAGCCGCGATAACGTGGCCCCACGGTTGAGGCTTATGACGTGGCTGGTCGAAATCGATCGGATTGTCGCCCCAGGGACTCTCGCCGTACAAGAGTCGTATATCTTTGATGTGATGCAACGGCAAGCCCATTGCTATCTGCAGTTGGGCGGCCGGTAGATTCACATCCGACACCATCTCGGTACAAGGATGCTCCACTTGAAGACGAGGATTCAACTCCAAGAAATAATACCTGCCGGCCGTATCGTATAGATACTCGACGGTACCGGCGCTAACGTATCCCACCATTTTTGCTAGTCTCACAGCGGCCTGTCGTTCGATAATAGACAATTAATAACGCAGTCAATAACACGCTGACGAGGATATGATTATTGTAATATTTACCTTTTCCATCTCTTCGAAAACCTCTGGCTTGGCGATCACGGCTGGTGCCTCCTCGATGATTTTCTGATGTCTCCTCTGGATGGAGCAGTCGCGCCCGAACAGTGATATCGCGTTACCATAATTGTCGGCCAGTAATTGCACCTCCAAGTGGCGAGCGCATTTGGCCAGTTTCATGATGAATATCGGTGAGCCGGGTATTTCGATCTGCACCTGCCTGAACGTTTGAAATCCTTGCGATGAAAATGGATTGCACAGTGCTACGTAGCAAAAGTCCACGTCTTCGCTGAAAGCGGAACTTGTGGGATCTTACCTAAACAAAGCGGGTAATTCCTCGGCGTTTTCGACCTTCCTGATTCCCTTACCACCACCGCCTTCGCTCGCTTTCACCATAACCGGAAAGCCAATCTTGTTAGCTGCCGCTAGACACTCCTCCACGCTGCCGACGCATCCTTTCTTGAAAAGTTCCGACGATATCTTGATTTTCTTCCCGCTGTATTGCGCTGTCAATTCCGATCCCGACCAGGGGAGCGTCGGTACGTCCGCGGTTTGCGCGACTATGCTGGATGCGATCTTGTCACCCAGAGCCCACATGGCTTTCTCGGACGGTCCTGTCGAAAAACGCGAGAATGTGAAAATCTCGCTAAAAGTTATCACGACAATTTTATCGACTTCTTATCGACAACATCGACGAAATAACAGCAAGATAGAAAAGAACGCAAATTGTGCGTATCCTTTGATTTGAATTTGTTAATCCGATTTTTTTATGTTATTCATACCAATAAAGCAGATGTTATTTTTATGGAGCAGTTCCGGAAGTTTAGGATTTTCCGAAGCGTGACCCCATCCGGCCCAGACTGCTTGGACTTGAGTACGTATCGCAATATCGACGATCAGTTCCACGTTGGCGTAATTGTTGTTGTTGGTCCCACCCGGCACAGGCACGTACTGGTCTGCCATTTTGATGTATTCCGCGTTCGCCTTCAAATCTTCCGGTGTGACCATCACCACGAAACGCACGGATCGCTCATTTTTAAACATCTCGTACGACCAGCGTCGAATCGATCGCATACATTTAACTGCCGCGATACCATTGTTGGCGATCAGCACCTGAAACAATGATCCGGAATGTAAAGATCCACTAAAGCAAATCTTAATAGTTTTTCTCTGATTTTGGGCCGCTCTAGGCTTGAAGCCAATGCTTTTTTCTTACCAAAATTTAATACTACAAGATAATAATTACTTTAGAAAGAATTAATTACGATTAATTAAGATTAAAATTAATTATTTATCTTGAGTATTAAAAGTATTGTTCAGCGCTCGTAATACTCAAGTAAATTCCACTATTAAATTGGCCAGTATTAACCCAGCAAACGCAGATTATAGCTGCAATGTTGCAGCAACATTGTAACGTTTCAGCTATATTGCAGAAATGTTACGATGTTGCATCTGTAATATTGCAGTTATAATCTGTATTTGCTGGGAAGTTGCAGTTCTGTAAAGGTTACCTTGTTGATAACTCTGGTGCCTCCGAAGCGATGGACAAACTCTTCGGGGGTCGCAACGGTAAAGTCCTTCTCGTGAAGCCGATTCTGCGCCTGGATCATCACCGTACCCTGCGACATGCTGGGCCTGTCAAATCATATACATATGCATTCATGAATATTCATTTGTATTATCATGCTTGATAATATATGCGCGTATTTTGAAGTTCTGTAAATTACGCTCCGCATATAAATGTCGACCGGTGACATACTTCATTACGAGTTCATTACGAGTAAAAACATCTCACATCATCAACCCGCCTGTAAAGAATACGAAACATCATGTTCGAGTCAACTGCTGAGTAGCTCACGCGCAGTACACTTTCCGTAATATTAATTAGATACTTGCGACTTTCGGCTTATTTCATGATTTATCTCACCTATACTATACGATCTCCTTCTTCAAGCGTTTAGAAATTTCAAAATTTCTAAACGCTTGTCTAATTTAATTGTTGAATAACGCATCTCTTTAATGTCTGAAGAATAAAAATGCGCCTATTTAATATATATTTAATGAAAGTAACAGTATAGTATACATTAATATTTTTTTTTAGAAAAGTTTGGTCGGCTTTTCTGACATTATTATTAACATATAATATTATTAATATTATATATTATTATTAATATATAATGTCTGATTATTCTTTTATCTCAATTGATTAACTGAGAAGTTCTGATCATTTTCTTTCTCATAATGATCGCGGATTAAAATCTTTCTTTTCCAAGGTTTGCTTGACGCGGAGCGTCAATTAAGGAGTCTCTATTATATATTCGCAAAATAAAATTTACATTAATCTTAAAACCGATAGATGTTTCATCCTCGTTGAGACGTGCATCTCGTCCGTATCCTTCTCTTCGAGACAAGTGCTCTCTTCATTATTTTTCTCCGTGCCCGTCGCAGAGGCACATACAGTCGGATTGCCTGATGAGCTCTCATCTAAGCTCTTCCAGTTTGGATCCTTCTTTGCGTTTTCCGTCCAGATGAATCTCTTTATCCGCCTCATCACGCTCCTCAAATCCAGAACGGCTGCAGAAACGAATAAACGCGCGCGCGATTGCGATAGCCAGGATAAGAATCGAATAGCCGCAAGCACGATCATTTACGGATCATTTATAACGGACTTGGAATATTTCATTATTATAATGCTCGGCTCGTTTAAGCGGTGCGAAAGACCTGAAGATGTATATTATTGGCCAGGATCTCCGCGATCTCGAGATGCACGCAAATAATCCCGCACAAATCAAGTTCATTACCACATCCGCATGTCGCCGTAAAACACCAAACAGGAGCTTTTCGTCAATCAGTGCATCGTGAAGGACGCGATAATAGAGATACATAAAATCTCTCGAAAATATAGAGAAAGATAATCAAAATAAAAAAGGTGATAAAGTAAGAAATAGGCAAGTCATTTCGTTTTGACAACAGTCACGAGATATCCGCTAGATAGCAAACGAAACGCAGGATCTCTCCCAAGTATAGTGTTGCAACGACAATCGAACGAGCTAGACGACAGGATGATTTGTAAAAATACGATTTTTAAACAAATATGCGCGTGTTGGGGCCATTAATTTCCGCGATGACCGTCACATTAATACCGTCACATTAATTATTAATATGTGAATTATGAAGAATACTTTCGAGCCACGACACGTCAACAAGGTTTAAAAGCTGCTTTGCATTGCAGAACTCGCGACTTCGGCTTCTTTTTATGAAGAATCGTATAAACTTAACGTGAGTAAACTTATCGTGACGCCTCGATCGTCCCTGTCGGCGGTCAAGGAAGACGAGTGTTCACTGGCGAGTTTCTTACCGATTATCCAAACGGCTTTCTTTCCTCGACACACGCGAATTCCCCTACCTTCTTTACAGGCGACTTACACTCGTTACTTGTAATAAGAAGAGAAAGAAAGAGAGAGAGAGAGAGAGAGAGAGAGAGAGAGAGAGAGAGAGAGAGAGAGAGAAGCGCACATGCGAGGCCTTTCTAATTTTTTTACAATCTTGCATTTATAATTAAAACTCAATAGTTAAATAACGATTTGACGTGATATCGCATTTTTTCAAAGCAAATTGGAAGACAAAAAGTGACAATTATCCATTTTTTGTATATTTATTTCATTTTTATATTATTGTCGTGTAAAATGTTTCATTTAGCTTCATTTCATTGTCTGAAAATCTCCGTTGTTTTTGACACATGAAAATTTATAGCTTCATCTAATTATCTGAAATATCTCTCATTTTTGACACATAAAAATGTGTACAGAAAAAACTAGTTAATTTGAAAAGACAGACATTAGAGGCAAATTTCTCTATCTTTTTTACATACGATTTCCTCATTACTGGAGACGAGAGAGAAGCGCCTAATTCTTTAAGGCGATGCTATAGAATGTCGGAATTACTGACATTACATTATTTATATGAATAAATTGAACGGAATTGAAAATCCTTTTACAAAATTGAAATAGACATGAAATATAGTGGGATAAAGAAATTTGTAGTAAAAACGAAAAAAAAAATTAAAGTTTTTTTTCGTTTTTACTACAAATTCCTTCGTCCCACTACATTTCATGTTTATTTCAATCCTGTAAAAGAATTTTCAATTCCGTTCAGTTAATTCGGAGATATTCATATAGAAAAAAAATAAAAACACTTTTATTACATAAACCGAACTCAAGCTGTCGATTAAGCCTACTTGGAACTTAATCAGTTATTGAGATCTTATAATCTCAAGTGCTCGCAATGCGACGGCTCGCGTTAAGAGACCCGGCATGGCTTGACTGATATGACTTGACTGATATAGTTTATTTTTTATTATTTATTATTTAAACACTTAACACCAAGCCGTGTCTCCTAATAACTGTAATGTCAGTAATTCCAACCTTCTAGCATCGCCTTAAGCTAATTTGAGCTTATATTTATAATCAACCCGATCATTAAACAATGTTTTAACGATTAGTCTTGTGGCATTTTCAAGACAAATTGGAAGATAAAAAAATTGTGACAAAATCGAACGATCTTGTTCTAGTTTCATAATATTTCACCTCATTACTTTGTCATTATATAACGCCTCATTTAGCTTTATTTAACTATTTAAAATATCTCCATCGTTTTTGACATATGAAAATAAGTACGAAGAAAATAAAATTGATTCGAAAAAATAGATATTAAAGATATTAAATTTTTCTACCTTTTTTATGTGCAATTATTCGTCACTTGAGAAGAGAGAGAAGCGCATGGAGCCCTTCTCATATTTTAATAATCTTATATTTATAATTAAAACTCAATAATTAAATGACGTATAGTAACATCCTCAAGACAAATCGCGAGACAAAAATATATATAATTATACATAAAATATAATCTCTGTCCGTATTATGTCTAAAAAAAATAAGAATTAATAAAAAACAATTGAAAAAATAACTTTTGCATTATCGTTTTTAGAAAAAGTAAAATTTCGATTACATTATACAATTTTATCAACAGAGTGAACCAAAAGAATGGAAAAATTTAAGGTCCCTCAGCTCCGCGGCTATATTGGAATTGCAACCTCCTAAGTAGAACAAATCAAAATGATTAAAAGTCACTTTTCGATTTCAATTACAAGTAATTTTAACGTCATTTTGACGATATCGTAATCTGCTGTTCTGCTTGGAGTCATAAGCGAGAAATAAAAGTTTCTTGCGTGCATTTTTAAATATAAAGAGAATTTGTGGATGAAATAATAAAATAGACTCGCTTTAAAAAATTTATAAAAATGAAATAGAAATTATCCTTTTCCCCCCTGACAAGTAAATAGTAAAAAGACACGTAAAGTGAAACCTATTCAAGCAAAAAAACTCACGGTTTGACAACTGTTGAAAGAATGAAAAGTATGTCTTTATGTATAAAATTCAAAAATAACTTTACTTTCAATCTATTTGTACGAATTTCATAGAAGTACGAGACAAGTCACATTTTCGCAATTAAGCATATACCTAATAACAAAATGGCACACAAGACAAAATTCGTCAACACTTTTCACGTAAGATCTGTTATTCTCTTCACATTCGACTATGACGGATTAATTCTTACTGCTTACAAAACCGATACGCATACGATATATTTACAGAATTCTTACGACTTAAGCTTCTTGCACAATGCATGAAAGAATATAGCGATAAAAATAAGAATTTCAACCTATCAGAAACCGTGTATTCCATGGTTTCTATAATAGGAAATTATTATTTCTTTCGCTATCGCTATTACTTCATGCATTGTGCAAGGGGCTTTATAACACCAACATATGACGTATAGTAGAACGGTATGATAAGCAAGGTTCAAATTCTTGCCGCGATATAGTGTGATATGGTGTCGCCACAGTCAACGCGAAATTCTTGGCGGAGTAGTCAGGAGTCTTAGGCTGCGTTCCGTTTGGCGCTTACAGCTGGTTACAGTGCTCACAAAATCATTTCATCCTTGTTGTTTATCAAATATTAAACAAAGACAAATGATGCTTATAAGCGTTGTAAGCGCCAAAAGGAACGCAGCCTTAAAGAGATAAAATAAAAACTTAAAAGTTTTATTTAATTAATTTTAATTACATCAAAATACAGAACATAATATATCATATACAAATCATCTTATCCTTTTTATGCAATGTACTTGACGTCTCGACGCAACCTCGTCGCTTAATAATATTACATCTTGAAAATGACATTCTTCAAATGCCCTTCTTTTAAAATTTAAATGTATGCATTTTTGCAATCTCTCTCTCTCTCTCTCTCTCTCTCTCTTTCACTTTTTGAATTCTCTTATGATTTCTTGCAACATTTCAACTGTGATGTTTATATTTCTTTTAAGTTCATCGATTCACCTCGAGGTTGCAAAAAAAGTAATGAGTGAGAGAACTTCAAAAGAGCGATTGCACAAAGTGATATGCATGCACTCAAGCAGAAATGTTCATTTAAAGAATGTCATTTTCAAGATGCAATGGTTATAAAATAATTTGTAATATCATGTTCTATATTTTAATTAATTAAAATTAAATAAAATTTCGTAAGTTTTTATTTTATCCTTCTCCAATATTTTTCGTTTCCTTGACCCACTCTATATAATTATAAACGCAGTTTTATACATTATTATATATATATATATATAATATATA